TTTTGATGATGTCCCTATATCCCCAAACAACAGTTTCTGGGTCCGACATCCATCCCACTATCACCTTAGAGTCTCCTTCAACTATCAAATTAGTCACTCCAAGTTGGTTGGAAATCTGTAGTCCTTGTACCACAGCTAATATCTCAGCCCTTGTAGAGTCTCCATAACCCATTGGATCTGAGAATAAGGACAGAATGTTGCTATCCTTATTCCTCAAGATCCCTCCTATACCTGACGGTCCTGGATTGCCTTGATTGCTCCCATCACAGTTCAACTTCACAACTCCTTTCGGAGGGGGTAACCAAACTGCTTGTGTTCTATTTTTCTTGGATGATGTGGAGGCCACTACTGCCCAACTCCTTCGAAGGTCGTCACTAGAGTAATCCACAAAGAGATTAGTAGTTTTTAGCCAAAGGATTGCCCTTGTCAGTGTACAATCCTTTATTTCAACAATGCTTCTCTCATTCTCTTGGAAAATTCTGGCATTTCTTTCCTCCCGAATGGTCCATAAGAGGGCTGCCCTAATACATTTCCACATTACTTTACCTCTCTTTGTTGGCCAACTAAAAAAGACGGATCAAAAAGCAGATTTACTTCAGGAGGCAAGTTCCACCTGTACCCAAACAACATAAAAACCTAATTCCAAATATTTACTGTAAAAGAGCAAGAAATCAATAGGTGATAACAGTCCTCATTCTGCACTTTACATAAAATGCACTAATTGGGGGACAAGCATGAACAAGGTCTCTTTTTTTGTACATTGTCCATAGTATTAATTTTACCATAATACACTTCCCAACAAAAACCAACAATTTTAGGTGGAATTGGCCTTGGCTAGATTTCTTTAACTAGGAACAACAAAGGGGAAGGAGTAGGGCGAAAGGGACTTAAAGAAGGAAGAATAAGAGAAGGAGCCACTCGAGGTCAAGGATCAAATTCTTCTATCTGGTTTAGGAGGGTCCAAACAAACAGAATCAAGTAAAAGTAAGAGCTTAGAGGTAGAAACCTATTCCTCATCCCTCAACCCTCTACGGAACCCAAAATCCCAATTAAGAGACAATGGGAGAATGGGGGGAGAAAGAAACCTCGAAACATACTCCTTTTTATAGAGGGAAATAGAAAAAGGGAGGGATAGAGAATGCCAAAAATCGCCTTCCAAGGTGTAGTGAGTGTGGCCCGTTGAGATACCCTGCCATCCCAACCATATTTAGAACAGCCATGGATACTAGCCACCACCTCATGCCACAATCTCTCTCTTTCCAAAGGCCACCTCCATAACCACTTGCCCAAAAGAGCTTCATTCTTATTTACTAGGTTCCCTAACCCTAAGCCCCCTTGTTCCTTACTTCGACTCACCACCTCCCATCTAATCAAATGATCCTTTTTCTCTGCACCTGGTTCCCACAAAAAATTCCTCATCAACTTTTCTATTTTCTTGGCTTCCCTAGCAGGTATCCTGAAAACAGACAAAAAGTAGATGGCTAAGTTTGCGAGTGTGGCCCTAATCAAAGTAATTCTACCCCCCCAGAGAGATATAGTTCTTTTTCCAGGTCACTAGCATTTTTTCAAACTTCTCTACCACCGGGATCCAAAACCTACTTTCCTTTGGATTTGCACCTAGGGGAAGTCCTAGATAGGTCAAGGGCCAAGCAGAAATAGGGCATTCTAAGCAGGCAGCAATAGACTCCAACTCCCTTCCCTCCACATTTAGCCCCACCACAACTCTTCTCAAGATTTATTTTCAGGTTTGAGACATTCTCAAAGAGGGTTATTAGATTTCTCAGATTCCTTGCCCTCAACAAATTTGTTCTTGATCATTTAATTTTGATTCTGTTCTTTAATTGACACAATAATTATTTTGCCTCCATTGTTTTTCCATCTTCCATCGTGGGTTTATGGTAAACCATTTCATTTTCCTATTTCCATCTTTTATCTGCACACTTGCACAGTGAATGATAGAAAGTGTTGTATTTATTTGTATTCATTTACTTGCATTTTTTTTCCAGAATCTAACCTTTTCATTTTTAGTGATCTTTGGGATATCAATTTCTTCTTTTATTTCTATTTTTGATGTTTAGATTAATTGCTACTTAAGGGTTTCGGTTTGGTTATATATTCTCTCCTTCTTTGATCAATATTCTATTTCAAGTAATTAGAAATTCTTGAAATGTTTTGATGGAAAAAGTGGATTATTTTTTCTGTTGAGGCTATTATATTGAATTGCGGATTATTTTGCTTCCACTAAGATTTTTCTGTTGTCTATTTTGATATTGTTATGCTTGTTAATTGCACTGTTCCACATTTTGTTGAACTCTCGAGGTTTTTACTGCAACTGTCTAATGACAAAAGTGGATTTCCAACATCCAGGTTGAAGGGGAAATTTCTTAATTTCTTTGTTTATCCATTGCGAATAAATTGAAAAGGTATATCATCTTTGGCACTAGATTCATATCCTTGAGACAATGCTTAAGGCTCCAGATTATCAGGTTGCAGGCCATAAAGCTCTAGATGGACAGCTTGGCCCACTTGTAGATGGTTCAGGCCGCTTCTACAAGCCCTTCCAGAAGGATGAGCGTGGGGTCCAAGAAGTTGCCTTTTACACCACTTTTTCATCCAACACCAAAATTCTGGATCACATCCGTAGATTCTTCCCAATCTTCTATGGCACCCAACTTGTAGAAGCTTCTGATGGATCTGGTCTGTGTCCCCACATTGTCCTGCAAGATCTCATCTCAAATCGCATCCATCTATCTATTATGGACATCAAGATTGGCTCTAGAACTTGGTATCCTCAAGCATCCGAGGATTATTTCCAGAAGTGCATTAAGAAAGATAGAGAAACAACGACCGTACCTCTGGGTTTTAGGATATCTGGCTTGCAGGCATATGAAAGTGAGGAATCAGGGTTCTGGAAGCCTAATAGAAAGCATGTTCTGGATTTTACCATGAATGATGTTAGGTCAGCTTTGAGGAAATTCGTTTCTTCAAACCCATCTTCAGATGCTGAGCCAGATTGTTCATATGCATCAATTGTTTATGGTGGTTCTACTGGGATTCTGGCACAATTGTTGGAGCTGAAAGCATGGTTTGAAGATCAAACAGTTTTTCATTTCTACTCTTGTTCTGTTCTCATGCTGTATGAGAAACAGGCTGTGTTGGAAGGGAGATCAGATGCGGAAGTCAAGCTTGTTGATTTTGCTCATGTCTTTGATGGTGAAGGTGTCATTGATCATAATTTCTTAGGGGGTCTCTGTTCTTTAATAAAGTTTATCTCAGAGATCCTCACCAGCCCAGACCAATTCTCAGTCAAAGGTGGATTGCAGGATTCTGAGAATAACTGTTTCTGTTCTGAAAACAGTATCAAAGAATGACCAGAGTAATCTTAATTGGTGAGCTTTTTTCGTTTTGACTTTTGCGCTTATGTGGCTTGTTCACTCCAGGATTGGAGTTACTTTTGTAGTAGATTTAACTATACTGAGATTGACCACTAAGTGATAACTAGGGAATAAATTCAAACTTCATGGTTGCTGCTTTTGTTTACTGAATACAAATAGGATCTCCTCCAGCTAAAGATCTTGATGATCCACAAAAATCATCCAAAATTAGTTTATCTTAAATCAGCCATGCAGAAATTTCTACAATAGTTGCCAAGTGGAAAAATTTATAATAGTTGCATGTGATGTTATAACCATCACACTATCTGATGTATACTATTATTGTCTACTAAATACTGCATCATTTGATACACACCTCATTCCATGTCGATTTTTAAAGTCTATTTTCCAAGTGTTAGTGCTTGCTGCCTGTAGAGTATGGATATTCGAACCACACAGACCCATTTTAGATCATCTCAAATCAGAACCAAGCTAACCTGATCCAATAACCAACTCGGGTCACCAAGCAATAATTAAGAGAAAATTATAGTGGCTGATAGCTGGCCACCTTGGATGGTGGCATGGAAGGTTCCAGAAACCTCTCCACTTAATAAATAGAGAATATAAATAATAGATATTCAGAAATTAAGAAAGAGCTTACTCACAACACCCTAGCAGCACCGTGGAAGGCTATTCACAACACCCTTCCTCAATTCCTCAATTTTATCAGGTATGAAGTTTGTTCTGGCAACWYTRTTCWTTTTTGGRAGGATATYTGGGTAGGAGACTCACCGTTAAAGGACTTGTTCCCTTCGCTTTTTTCTATTTCTTTGTACAAAAAAGAGGTGGTCTCAAAATTTGTTTCACCTTTGGGAACACCCTTAGATCCT